CTTCATCGTCGGCATGCACCATTGCTTGGAAATCCCCGAACTTGTCAAAACCATATGCTCCAACCTCACGACTGGTTTTAGGGGAGAGGGCAAGGTGCTCGCCGCACTGGCGCGGACCTGCAAGATGTTCCACGATCCAGCTCTGGATGTGCTGTGGGCGGAGCCTAAAGATTTGATGAACATCCTGAGATGTCTCCCCTCCGACGTATTCACCGTTCAGGATGATCCACCCAGCCACCGACCTACTCTGGTGAGTACCGACTTGTTTCCGAAATTCTGGATTGACCTGATTGCCGGTGCAGAGACTGCTTCGCCCCGTTGTGACCCGCGATTGGGACAGGCCACTCGTTTACATGTCGCGCGTAAAGACCTTCGGCTTTCCTTCTCTTAAAAACATCCAGTTCTCGGAGATTTTCGCCACGATGGAGCGGAGTCTCCCCACAGGCTGTTTGTTTCCCAATCTCACCACCTTGCGATGGTCTGCGATGGATTTCCCATACCTCCACCTCTTCTTGACCCCTACGATCACCTCGATCCGCGTGTCGCGCATACCCCCCAAGTGCAGTCCTTCGGTCCTTCCAGCTCTTTCGCTCACATGTCGCCAATTAAAACACGTCGAAATTGCGCTAGATGGGAATGCTTTCCGGGACGTGGAAGATAGCTGCCGCCCCATTTTTTCCGCGTTTCTTAACCAGTTGCCTTTCATCGAGCATCTAAGCATACTGCTGCCAGATTCCACGGCGATGGAGCACATAGGACAGCTTGAAACGCTTCGATTCCTCTATCTGCCGACACTCGCCGCCCAGGTTCTCCACACCTCCATCGAACGGCCTTCGTTGTTCGTTAACCTCTCCACGCTTATTGTTGGAACTTTGAACATCGCGACGGCAACCCGTATTATTAGACGGTCCACCGATACAGCCTTTCATACTCTCCAGTTCACTTTCGACGCATCCCCAACGGCTGAGGTTACGCGCGAATTTTACACTGCCTTGACCCAGTGCCGACGTTCGCACGCATCCCTCCGCTCACTTAGCCTCCAAAATAAGGCCGATGACGAACCTGACCTTGTTCAGAAAACGTTCCTTGTTCGCAATGAAAATATCCAGCGTCTGTTTTGTTTCGGGAATCTCACCAAAATCGATCTTCTCTCGCCGTGTGGGTTCGAGTTGAACGACCGCACCTGCGCTCTAATGGCCCGCGCATGGCCGCACATTGAGTGTCTCACACTCAGAGAACACTACTACCCAAGACAACAATCTGTCACCCTCGAGTCACTTCGCTCCTTCGCCCATCATTGCCCCGCTCTGAATAAACTCCACATCACATTTGACGCTCGCGTCGTGCCCGGCCCCGACAATCCACATCTATCCCAGATCAACTTGGAATACTTGCACGTCGGCCACTCGCTAATAAATTCATACGATCCGTGCCCTGCTGCCAGATTTATTTCCTCGATCTTTCCTCATCTAAAATTCATCGCCACGCCGAAGGACTACCGTGATTTCGATGATTACGACGACGACGAGGAGGAAGACGATGCGCCCTACGTCGATACTGACGCCTGGCAGGACGTCCAGCAGCAACTCCCGGGTTACAGAGCAATGTTTGCGAGGTGACTTTGACTCTTCGAGTGTGGTCAGTTTTTGTCTTCCGCCCGCGCGATTTCTTGCACAAACAACCCGCCATTTTTTCTTTCTGTTGGTGGTACTCTGTCAGTGATAGCGCCATTCACAATCGGTCACCCGCTACGTCGCGCAGGTCCGGGGGTTGGGACCTCCGGAATGATAGTAGCGGTTTCCTTTTTATATCTCCGACACGTACTCCTGTAGTCGTTGTGATATTTCATGCGACTGGTCCATCATCCACCTAAGCCTCTCTTCGTATCGTAAATTGTTGCCTATCCAAAATCCTACTACCCAGAACATATTTCAATGCTGTGTGACGTTGCGACATCTTGGTCAATCCGCAAGGTTCTAGTACCGTATGTTTCACTCCGCCTTTTAATCCATGCTATATATCCAGCTCGGAAATTACCGCAAGCATTTGGATGTGGTGTACGGTGCACGCCCGCCTGCCTTCAGCATCTTTTCTGCGTCGATTATGTGGCCGGAAGCCTGCTGTTAAATCCTTTTTATATCTCACTTTTGTAGTTCACACCTGTTATTCGTCAGTGTCCTGCGCCGCGTCGTCACCTCCTGACCTGTGAAATCACACTTGCGAGCAAACAGCCCCGTCGTTGTCAGAAGTGCACAGGTTGCAATAATTGCTCATTTCACTTGTATTCAGCCTTGTCGAAATCAGTGCTAGCACCTCGGACGTGGTGTATGGCCCACCCATGATTATCATAAGAGGCGATATGCGTGTATGCAGGAAGCCCGGCTTCGATTCCTGGCGTCCTAAGTATGGGTTACATGAACCGTTTTTTTTTGGTACATCCTGCTAATTCTGCTGTCGGTTTGTTCTCTTCGTATTAGTGTCTATCATGCGGGCAGGTCAGCTCAACTTCAAACTGGTTGGAAGATGCAGCGCAAGAGGTAATCGCTCGCGGTCTAACTCTGGAGTAACCACCCCCTCGCTTCTCATGAATGTTTAACCGAGTCAGAAATAAAGATATGACCTCGGCAGATATAGACGATAAAGACGCTATAGCAACTGTCTATATCGTCTATATGTGTCTCTGTGTATCTATATAACAAGCCATAGAATTTTGGTTTTTCCTGATGTGGCTGAAAAGATTGAGTATGAAAGGCCCATCCAGGACGGAGCGGACGCACAATAGGAGAGTGCCAGAGGATTTTGAAATATCTTTGTGCGCGGAAATCAATGATTTCATAGACTTCTGGGGCGTCTGGCCTGGCCAACTGCCGGTCCGGTCATACAAGAGCCATGCCACCACAGATACTGGGTAAAGAATTGGGCTTAAAATCCGAGTCTGTGTACTGAGTCACTGAAAGCAGATCTGTCATTGCAGTCTGAAAATCCCAGCTGATGACCTCCACGAAACCACTAGAAGACAACAAAGAAAATAAAACAATATCAGGACATCATTTAAATGGCGGCTGCATCGCCTACACATTCTGCGAATCGCGGACTCGCACCACAATATTCGCCCGCTCACCGCCGTGGAGTACTTGGGCTTCGAAATCTACGATTCTGGAAGAAGGTATTGTGCTTTGATTGGTACCGAGCAACGAATCATCATCCACCCGCCAGCATCCGAGGATTGTGTGATCATGCGCGGAGCGAAATAGGACATGTTTCCCTCCCCGAAGAATCTTAAAGGCGACGGAGTGCGACCGTTGGGGAGATAGATGTAGCGCAATGCAGATAGAATGTTCCGCAGGTGCAAGCTTTCGCCAAGGACGACCAAGTTTTGCCAGGATTCTGGAGAAAGCCGTGCCTCCGTGCGGTGACCATGCCTCGGGGCCGACTACCAACCGCTTCACCAGACCCACCAGACTTTGCGTTGACATCTTCCGTACGTCTGCGACAGAGAATTGGTCGATAAAGTTTTCGCTTGCAGAGATCCTCCACTAGAGACCTCCAGATGGCTGGGGAGAGCGCGAGACCTTGAAAGTACTTATTCGTCTGTAGTAAGGATAGTTGGCTCCGGACCTCCGTCGGACTGCAAGGAACTGGGTCGCACCTGGCTGATGGATATTACAGAGCATATATCAGACAGACACAGAACGTCGTAGATAACGTCTTCAGAGAGATCGAGGAAGACCATAGTGCCACGTGGTGGGAGGCAAGATGCGATGTGTCCACGTGATGGGGCGCGTTGATCGCATATTATTACCCCACAACTACAAACAAACAGTGATAATTACTGCTTGAGTTCTATGTGAGTACTTGAACACCGGGAACACGGCGCGGTATCGGAGCACTGAGAATAAATTCTGAGAGCGAGAAGCAATCCCGGCCGAAGCACAAAAGTCAAAGCCAGCTTCCTCAGGCTCAATCAAAGCAGGTGCGCGTTGGCAATTTCTGACGGATCATGTTTCGGTGGAGGAAAGAGAGGTTTGCAAGACGAGCATCCACCCCAGAATAATAAACCCGCGGCCAGGACAGAAACTTTCTGAGGAGCGCGGAATACATGTGAACAGCGCGAAGGACGGCAAGGAAAATGACCAGAACCTCAGATGAACAAATCCCGAGTCGAATGGGTTCCGACATAACGGGATAGTAGAAGTTATATACATGAGATGCAGGTGCGTCCCCCTGCCATCGGGTCGACAGCACTGATAAATAAGCTCGGATAAACGAGTGATATGATTTCCCGGGTCGAACGACACACATTTAGGTACGTGATGGAATCTTGCTCTCCTAATACAATTTAAATATTCGAAGGAGCCAATAAATGGCGATTTAGGTTCCTTAAAAATCATGCACCTCGCTTGTAACACGAGGAATCGATATCAGCTGCGCGAACAGCAGGAACCGACATCGAGATCCCCAAAAGAACCCAATCGCGAGTCGAACAGGTTCCCAGCCTGCGTCTACGGACTGGCTGAACAATGAGCACAAAAAATAGATATCAATCTGTAATGACCTGGCCTGGATTCGAACCAGGAGCTCCAGTCCTGTCGAAGTTTGTGGACACTGGTATGTAGCAGGCGCGGGCGCTCCGCTACTAGGTCTTATCCAAAGCGAAACGATCTTGGATAAGTGAGGAGAATTGCGGGCGAATGATCGCACGTACGCGGGACATGATGTAAACACAGAATTAGCATCGAGAACGAGTACGGTGGAGGTCGCCCCGGAAAATAGAGGGAGAGGGGTGGAAGCTGGAAAGAAAATACGAACCCCCACGACGGCCTCAGAGTTCGAGTGGAGACGCGAAATGCCACGGAATCCATCGCGGCGCGGGCCGCATATGTACGCTGTGAGGCAAACAAAGATGGTTTGTGGAGACGTAAGGTCTTATCTGTCGCTGCGTCTTGTATTCGAGGAGGCACTAGGTGTAGAAGGCGAAAAAAAATAATCCTAACCATGGATGACCTCGCCTGGAGTCGAACCAGGGACTCCTGTCCTGTGACATATTCAGAGGACCTGCAATATGTGAAGTAGGCGCGAGCCCTCCGCTACTAGGTCCTAAGCAGCAGACGTTGAATCAGTGCGGTGAGTTTAGGAGGAGGAATTGTACGTGCGATGGTTAACATGGGTGTTGACTCGGCGGCCAAGGTGGCGGACATGGGCTGGAATGCATGGAGGCGATTCAGGCCACAATTTGCGGGGGAAATTTGAACATGAGAGACCGGATGGACAACATGGAAGCACGCACGACGGCCTTAGAGCGCAGAGGGGAAGTCCCATGGAATCCATCGCGGCGTGAGCCGCATGTGTATGCTGTGAAAAAAGAAAGTGGTTGCGCGAAGAGGTAGGGTCTTATCTGTCACTGCATCTTGGATTCGGGGACACCTCACCACCTGAAGAAGGCAACGAAAAAAACTTGCCTGCACATTGGCGAAGACCCAGCCTGGAGTCGAACCAGGACGTCCCACATATAGAGAACTTTGAAACACAGCGATCGAAAGTGGGTAGGGTTCGTTCGCCACTAGGTCGTGTTACTGACAAGTGGAGCTTGAATAAGTGCGGTGAATTGGAGGGTGCGGAATCGTACGCGTGATGTTGAAAATGATTTAGAGTTGAGACCGGCCGAGGACGACGTGTCGAGAGGAGACAGGATGCAGACAAAAGCAAGGAAGTACAGCACAGCGGCCTTACAGTGCTATAGCGCAGCCGGTAAGTCCCATGGAATCCATCGCGGAGCGGGCCGCATATGGATGCTGTTGTGAAGCCAAGTATTATGATCTGTCCGCAGTGCTCACCGCGCCGTCTACTAGTAGCACCGAGTGAGAACGTATCGTGATCGGCGGCGCAAGTTGACGGTGGCGCTGTTTACGATGAATAGACATGGGATTCCACGAGCCCCTATCCGCTGGCTATCTGCGCGTTTGAGAGCTTTGCGTCGATTGTGTTTCTCAGGATTATTGTGGTTTCCACTCAAACACGCGGTTGCCAACAATACTATGCGGAGCCCATGCTCGGCGATTTGAGACGAATCCGATGGTAAGAATCCAGGATAAATTCAGAACTTGAAGGACGGCTTGCTCGTTGAGTCAGGAAAGGAGGAACGGCAGGGAAGAAAGGGACGCGGTTCGAAGGAGAAGACAGATCGAAGGGCGGCGGGGATCGCCGCCCATCAAAAATGACCCCCATGCAATTTGATCGATTACGTAACACTCTCCTTTTCCACGCGAATCCCGCCGTCCTTGTCGCCGTCCCCGCCATTGGACAGCGAGCATAACACAAGGCGCAGGTCGAATTATGCCGCTTCAAAAAAAGAGGAGTTCTAGGAGAAGGACTAGGAATCTGAGAGGAGGCTCGGGATGCCATCGCTTTTCTCGCGCGCGGACGGCGTCGACGCCGTCCAAGCACTAACCAAAGCTCGCCACAACACTCACCGCACCTATGCCCGGCAACCCCCGCTCCCCCACCCCATCTGATGAATTCGGCCTCATGCGCGTGCGCACGCTGCGGGACGCATAGCCTCCCCGCCGACTCGTCCTACGGCGCCGTCGGATGCCTACCTACGACGCTGCCGCGGACAACGCCGTGCCATTCGCCGCATCGGGTAATAACATCCCCACCGCTCAGACACCAGGACCAGGACAGGGGGGACAGGCACCCTTGCTAGCGTACGGGCTCCTCTCGCCCGTGTGGGACGCCGTGCTGGGGCTGCCGGATGCCGCCCGCCTGGTCGCGCGCGTGTGCCCAGAGCTCGAACGCACGGGCGTCGCTACGCCCTTCGTCTTCTCCGCCCTCGCATTGGACGTCCGTCGTCCGGTCGTCGCGCGCATTCCTCGCTACACTCCAACTCCAACTCCTCCTCACGCAACGGCAGTCAGCAAACGGAGGAGCGGTGGGCGGAGGCGCGGTTTGCGGTGGCGCACGAGCCGGGGATCTGTTTGCGGTGGGGGCTGTCGAGGGTGGGAGAGGTGAGGGGGTTGTTGAGCTGGGCGTGGTATGAACGGTGGCGCGCGGAGGCGGGTGAGTGTTTCTTCTCTATACCTCCCTTTTATGCGTCTTTCTTCTATGCTCCCTCCTTCTCGTCTTTACGCCCTCTTTTTCGCCTTCCCTCATTCCCCTGCTTCCTGTCTCTTTTCTGCTCTTTCCTTGTCTTTTCTCTTCCCTTGTGCCGCCTTTCATCGCCCTCCTGCCCTCTGCGGCGCGAAGGCTCTACGCCTGACCCGCTGGCATTCTGCGTCCCAGCTGCGTTGGCATTACCTAGTGCACATGCGCTGGCATTATACGACCTCTTGCACGTATCTCGTGGTTCCCGTGCGCATCTTTCGTTGCACGACCCTCTGCCCTTTTCTTCGTCTTTGACGCGGGCATACACGGAGCACTTTCTGACGTTCGGCTTGTTCTCTTTTCTTTCCCCTCGTGGTAATGCGCCCATTTCAAGTCTCACGACGGGCTCACCGGCGTTGGGTCTTGGTGCGGACGCCGCTCTCGTCCTAGTTTTCGGTTTCGTCCCTTGTTTCCTATTTGACCCGTTCGTCCTTGCCTTGGGTGCAGAACACAAACCCACGAGTCGCTCTCCTTCTTTCATACGGGCCGTGGTGTATGCACCGACTTTGTTTGAGATCTTTTTGGCGGTCGCTCTTCTCAGTGCTCTGTGTTTTCTTCCCGTCTCTCGCTTGCCCGCCGTGTGCCTGTACTTCGGCATTCTGTCGGATGCACTGCTTCTTCCGCTTCATATACCCTCACCGTTTCGCCGCGCAATGCGTTCTTCCTGGATCGGCCGACTTTTGGACGGCGCAATATCTTTCTCGGCACCTGTCTTTCTTCCGGGGGATACGATGTTCTACAGGCACTCTTCTGGCCTGCGCCGCTACTGGTTTGCCCCTCGCTTGAGGCGCGGCTCGGCTCCTTCATTACATGCAACTTTGGCTCAGCGTACATGTATATCACAAGTTCTGAATTCTGAATTCATCCGATCTTGAAATCTGTTTCCTCCATCTTCTGAGTATGAACTGTCGACTCGGCACAAGGGCGAGTATACCTCAGGTGCGTCTTCAGCACCTACGCCTCGGGTGCGACGACGCGGAACCTCTTTCAGCAGTATGCCTTGGCCGCAATCTTCATGACTATCACTCACGGTGTGCGATATGAATTGCGCGTGGTTCATCTCAAATCAAATTATCGCCCAAGAACTGTAGAATTTCGGGGTCAAATTGGAACGTCGAACGTTGGAGCCTGATTTGACACATCTGGAATGGTGCGTTCCATTTGAGTCGTTGCTATTGAGATCCTTGTCGCAGATAGCATTCAGTGCAGAGATATGTGACGACGTGTGAGTATCCGTTGCACTCCTCGATTAACTCAGCTTACCGCTGGATCCGGGTGCCGACGAATCGAGTATATAGGGCAACGCAAGGTGAGTTCGGTGTTGTCTTTTAACTGTTTTTTTTACGCTGCCAGGGTTGATTGCACAAGTTAGTTTACTCGGCGTCCCGTGAGAATTCATTCACGTGCACGCAACGCGGTTATTGGAACGACAATTTACACTATGCATTTATGAACGCACGCGTATATCCTGGCTCGAGGAAGTGTGGAATCCTGTTTCATCTTCGGATACTGTATTTTTACATTCAATTCGATGGTCACGCGTCACAGGGGGGGTTGTCGACGAGGAATTTTGGTGCGGTGTCACGCATCACAGGGGTAGTTGTCGAATTGCCCCAGCGTGACATGCCGCGAGGTTCGCCTGGATGTGCTGGTTTTGTGAAATTTCGCGTCGAAATTGTCGAAATTTGCGATTTTGTCACGCCAATTTTGGCCGCTGTCGAATTGTCGAATATGTTCCGGGTGTCACGCGTCACCCCCCCTGTCGAATTGAACGAAAAAATACAGTAATCTGTTACTACGTGGCAGGACACGAGGTAATGCTCGTGCCGGCGACACAGTGTTCACGGTCTTTACAACGAGATAATTTATCCAATCCAACTCCCAATATGAGATAGTTATTTCATTTCGCTTAGTGTTCAGTGGAGCCCGTCTAGTTATCTGCTGATTAGGAATGCAAGCGGTTGAACGGTGCTTACTCGACCCCAGATTCTGGGCTCAATAAAATTCCTATAATTCGGAGGTACAGTCATGCTAAATCCCGGAGTCTCGCCTCATGTACGATCTGGATCAGGCCGTTGCTTCTGCGAGCCTTTCCATGGATACCACTCGCAAGTCTGGCCGACTCCAGATCGGAAACCGGTACATCTTTAATCGCATCGTGTTCAACCATTTCCGTAGTGATTCATTTCTGAGACACCGATGGTTTAATCTTCCGTAACGTTTGTCAAACGGGTTGTGCGACGTGTTGGTGATGTCGAAGATATCCAACCCCGTCCATGGACGTGCCCAGGCGCGCTTCCCTCTCACACCACGAAGGCTAGGGAGTTCAATCATCACTTCCTTTGAAGGTACATCTGTGCGGTAGGTTGCAAGGAGATATCTCTTTTGCACAGCCTGCTTTCCTTCCCGTAGGTCTTGCTTCTACGCCACGTGGAACTACACCGACTCCAGATCGATCGGAGACGTTCTATCATTTGCATCAACCATGTGTTTTATATTTGCTTTCTCTTCTAGAATCCGGTGCTCTAGTACAATGGTGAAACCGATTCAAGAAGCTCCCCATTTCTGATGGCCGTTTTTATTCTTCTTCTAAACATGAGATAAGTAAGTAACATTCCAACTCTCGACATGCATAAAATCTGTGATTGAAGGTGATAGCTATACTACTGTGGTTAATTCGACTGCAACGGACATCTTGTGTACCGATTTTTCCAACGTGCTGATGTCTTCTTCAAACTGGGCTCGCAATCCTCGCCAGTAATACCGGTCGTGTTCTTCTGAATCTTCCAGGTTTGGCATTTTGCCTGCCATGTCTTCCAGAATTCGGGCGATGCTGTACAAGACTGCATTTCTCTCGGATGAAACCTCCTCTGAACCAGGGAACGCGCTTTCCCGAGCCATTGTCACAGCATACATAAGAGAAGCCTGGAGAGGCACAGAGAAAGTCGACTTGAAAC